AAGATTAGATATTTATATTTTCGAAATCTAATTTCCCTTTGTTTGTTTTCTTCTCTCCTTCCAAGTTCTTTTAAAACATGCTGACTGGTCCCTGGAGTATTAAGAGAAAACAAGGTGAAAAGATTTGCTTCAAACATGGGCTAGACTTTTATAAGGGTGAAGTTTACATTCCTGTGTGCCTGGGACTAGTGGCAGCAGCTTGAATTGAAGTGATAAAATTCTAAGATCTAGATAGTGTTTGCAAACCCTTTCTTTGTAGGAATTTTCTCTAAAGTTCATTTTTGTCTTGCAATCCCTATCAAAATAACACGAGCATTCTTCTCAGAGCTAGAACAAGCAATCTTAAAATTTGTATGGAACCAGAAAAGACCCTGAATAGCCAAAGCAATCTTGAAAAAGAAAACCGAAGCTGGAGGCATCACACTCCCAGACTTCAAGACGTATTACAAAGCTGTAATCATCAAGACAGTATGATACTGGCACAAAAACAGACACTGAGATCAATGGAACACAACAGAGAACCCAGAAATAGATCCATAAACATATGGCCAACTAATCTTTGACAACGCAGGAAAGAATATCCAATGGAATAAAGACAGTCTCTTCAGCAAATGGTGCTGGGAAAACTGGACAGTGACATGCAGAAAAATGAACCTGGATAATTTTCTTACACCATGCACAAAAATAAACTTAAAATGGATGAAAATGGGGTGTCTGGGTGGCTCAGTCGGTTAAGCGTCTGACTTCAGCTCAGGTCATAATCTCACAGTTTGTGGGTTCAGGCCCCACATTGGGCTCTGTCCTGACAGGTCAGAGCCTGGAGCCTGCTCTGGATCCTGTGGCTCCTTCTCTCTCTGCTTCTCCCCCACTTATGCTCTGTCTCTCTTCCTCTCTCTCAAAAATAAATAAACATTCAAAAAATTTAAAAAATGGATGAAATACCTAAATGTAAGACAGGAAGCCATCAAAATCCTAGAGGAGAAAGCAGGCAAAAACCTCTTGGACCTCTGCTGCAGCAACTTTTTACTCAACACGTCTCCAGAGGCAAGGGGAACAAAAGCAAAAGTGAACTATTGGGACCTTATCAAAATAAAAAGCTTCTGCACAGAGAAGAAAACAATCAGCAAAACTAAATGACAACAGATGGAATGGGAGAAGATATTTGCAAATGATACATCAGATAAAGGGTTAGTATCCAAAATCTATAAAGAACTTATCAAGCTCAACACCCAAAAAACAAATAATCCAGTGAAGAAATGGGCAAAAGACATGAATAGACACTTCTCCAAAGAATACATCCAGATGGTGAACACACACATGAAAAAATGCTCCACATCACTCATCATCAGGGAAATACAAGTCAAAACCACAATGAAATACCACCTCACACCTGTCAGAATGGTTAACATTAACAGCTCACACAACAACAGATGTTGGCGAGAATGTGGAGAAAGAGGATCTCTTTTGCACTGTGGTGGGAATGCAAACTGGTGCAGCCACTCCGGCAAACAGTATGGAAAACATCTTCCATTTGGTTTTGTTAGATTGGCAGCTCTTTGAACCCAACCTCCATGCTGTGAGGAAGTCCAAGCAGCCTGTAGAAAAGCCCTCATGGAGAAGAACTACAGCTTTGCCTATAGCTTTGGCTAACTAGCCAGCATCAACTTGGCAGCTATGAGAGTGAGCCATCTTGAAACACAGCCTCCATCCTCCAGTTGGTCAGATACCATACAAAGTAGGCAAGAGCTACCCCCACCAAGCTCTGTCCAAATTGCAGATTTTTTTTTTTTTTTGGAAATAAGTGACTCTTGTTGTTTTAAGTTACTACATTTTGGTATGGTTTTCTATACGACAAGATAACTGATACAGTTCCCTAATTATATAAACACTAAACATGCTTTTTGGTGCTTATTTTGGGTAAATTGCTTTGACTTAGAGCTGCCTCTCTTCCTCACAGGCAGCTGTCCTAACAACTGTTCTAACCTAGATTCTACAGAGATGTCTGCAACTGCTGAGGAAGCTAAGTGATGACAGGTGAGTGGACTATTGTTTTTGAGTCCCACTTGCTCAGTGGATATGAGGAAGGAGTACAGATGGTATCCTCTTCTCCTAGATATGAAGCTTCTGTCAGCTTCAAGGGCCTATGGATATATATAGGTAGGCAGCTAGATGTATTTTTTTTCATAGAGTAACTGATAACACTAGCATTTTGTATTTCCAAAAAGAAGGGATGCCATATACTCCTATACCTGATATACATACACTGCATTTATTACTGTCATTGATTATTAATCATGTACCTAGAAGCTGCTCATGACAGAGGCTCCATTCTTCCCTAACATCCCTCTTGGACAGCTAGGGTCCATGCTTATCTCAAATACTCTACTGGATGTGTCCATGCCAGAGAGGGTCTGCCATCCTTCCTGGGTCCAGAAATTAGCCATATGCCAAGAGGTGAAGGTTTACTGGGACCTATTCCTCACTGTTACTTGGAACAGTATATCTCTTTTGAGCTGAGATGAAACCAAACTGAGACATATCTGATGATGATGATGATGATGATGATGATGATGATGATGATGGTGGTGATGCTATTAACTTTTCCCTTTGTATCTCAATTTTATTTCCTTTGCTCTCTGTCTTCACTCCCTGTTCCACTCCATCTCCAATAGTCTTATTCAGAAGAAATTTAGCCTCTTTTTTAGATAGTTCTTTTGTACACATTCCAAACCCAACTCATGCTATCAAGCTCTTTATGGTTTTTTTCCCCTCCTGCCAACCTGACAGTTTTAATTCCCTAGCAGAAACCACTACAGTGAGTAGGACAAAGAAGATTGCCAAGCAGATACAATCAAGATGGATGATGAGAGTGGCTCCATCTTTTTCCTTACCCTGCATGCCCACTGGAAGAATGTTTACCTGAGCACAGATGCTTTTCACCCCTCTTCCTTCCTTATGGAACTGGGGCTTGCCCTTGGGAATTCAGCATTTCTCTCTACACCAGTTAGCTGCTTGGAGGTTTTGGAAAGGGAAGAATTCTCTTATCACTATTTCTGCAAATGGATCCCAGTAAGGCTTTACAGCCCGAGAACCCTGGGAAAGTGTGTGTGTGTGTGTGTGTGTGTGTGTGTGTGTGTGTGTGTGTGTATGCTGAGAGTGAAGTTGTTATTCTTTGGCATACTGGCTGGAATTAGCCCATCAATGGGGGCTCAGAGCTTCCAATTCACTTCATATTCCCAAGAAAGACATCTAGGCAGAGAAAGAGAAACTAAAGCAAACGCCCAAGGAGAGATGGCCTCAGTGTTATGCACCTTGAGTGTGTTTACATGACCGGAGTGGGTGGGTAGTGGTAGGATGTTCTGGTTCTCCAGATTATATCCAGATGCTAAACCTTTACCATGGGTTTGGTACTCTGCGGTGGGGAGGGGGGATCCCAATTTTCCACCTCCTGGCTGACCGTGAGCTAAAAGGGCTCAGGTTTCAGAGAAAGCTGTTCCTCTAGCACTCAAGGCCAGTTTTGATGCATGTTGTGTGGATGTGTTTTCCCAGAAGCAAGTATCCTTCTTGCTCTTTTATGAGCTTCATGTCCTTTTAGGAGCTTCATGTCTCAAAGCCAGTGCTTTGTGTCCAATGAATGCTTTGAGAGGGTGAAATTCCTTAACTCCCCTTTGCTGCCCCTATGTCTTCCTTCCTTGGCCCACAGCCCATCCTAGGGAACTGTGCCACTCTCACATTGCTTTCACTCCTTGAAAGAACAAACATCTTCACTGCAGCCTCAGAACACTGGTGTGAGGTGATTGTTTATAGTAGATGTTTCCATGACACTCATTTATTTCTTCTGCAGATACAACTGTGTTGGGGGAGGGGATGAGAGTTTAGAGTAGAGAGACTGAGAAATATGGAGACCTTGCAATTGCCTCATCTGTCTTCCTCTGTAGGAGTAAGAAGTCCATCAGCCCCTTTCCCTGGGTCCCTCCATCCCAAACCCCTAAACTGCTCTACAAATCCATCCTGGCTTCATGATGCTGAGATGGGACTAAATTCTCAGATAGGTGAGGAGGGGAGGAATTTTATGCATGAAGAGGCAGCCTTTTTTAAGACAAGGAAAAAAAAAAAACACTTTTATTGCTCAAAGTAGAGATTTACTAATGATGAGCAACAATGACCTGCACTGGGGGTGGTAGTGTGTGTACGTGTGTGTCGGGGGGGGGGGGGGGGGGGGAGAAGATTCTCTGACACTCCTTCAGCTGAGCCAATGACTCATTCTAAATTGGAGTGACTTTTGGAGGTCATTTTAGTCATCCCCCTGCCTTCAGGCCGGATGGAGCTTAACTTAACAATATCATGTTTGGGTGGAAGGGGGTGCGTTGCTGAGGGAAGAATGTCCGTGTGTGGAAAGGAGTGGCGCGGGGCGGGGGATATTGTGTGACCTCTTTGAAAAGATCTCCAGTGAAGGACGTTCCCTAGCTTTCCCAGGCTGCCCTGCCCGTTCCTGGGTTTCCCCATCATTGAATCAGCATGGTCCTCTAGGGAACTGCTTTTTGCTGGTTGGAAACCGGATGTTGGGTTCCCTGGGTGGGCGGGGGCGACGTCCCTTCTAACATTTCTGGGGTAATTGAGATTCCCAGGGTCCCGTTAGCAAGCCCAAGAAGCTACCATTCCCTTCACCAGGAACTTGCCATGCAGTGTGAGCAGAGAACAGTACAGAGCAGAGACGCTACAACGCCTTCTCCCTGGCAATGCGCATGATTCTGCGGCTCTGTGCTCGCCACACTTCAACGCACCTTGAAATGGGCTCGCCTCCTTCGCGCCACAACGGACAGACTTTCGAGCCAATCGGCCCCCAGGCTTGCGAGCAGTGTCCAATGGGAGGGCGGTGGGGGCGGTCCCGGAGGCCCGGCCCTGGTAGGCTTCACCGTGGAGCTGGCTGCGCTCTGCCGGGGCTAGTAGTGCAGGTGCCGCTGCGCCGGGGGCCGGGGAGGCTGCGCGCCGAGCCGAGCGTAGCCGGGGAGGGATGGAGAGCGGGCCGGCGGGGCTGCAGGAGCACCGGCGTGGGGCGTAGGCGGGCGCGAGCGGGCGTGAGCAGGCGCTCGGGCGCGAGAAGTGTGCGGGCGCAGGAGCACTTTGCGATAGGATGAGGCTCTTGGCTGGCGCGCGGTAGTACTATGATTTGGTATGTGGCCACTTTGATAGCAAGTGTGATCAGCACCCGAGGTCTTGCGGCTCAAGGTGAGTTGAAGTGCAGCGCCCCTCCTCTGGCCCTCCGCGGCGTCAGCCCTTTCTTCTTCGTTTCGGGCTCCCCGGCCCCGCTGAGCGTTGCGCCTTTCCGCGGGCGAGGCTCTGGTTCGGTTGAGGAGCGCTCCGGAGCACTGCGGGGAAGCGCTGTGGGCCGCGGGCCGGAGGGGCCGGGTGGGAAGGGGCCGGAATCCAAGGGCTGCCTGGCACTCGGGAAAAGATCTTGGGATCCGGGTCGACTTTGTCCACCTTCGGCCTCAGGGTTTCATACCGGCGTGCCGAGCCAGGTGCTCTTTGCCGGAGCAACCGCCTTCTCTAGCGCTGGGGAGTCTGCGGCTTTCCTAACTCTGGCTGCCGGGTAGTTTGTGGGTGTTTGGGTAGGCTGCAGCACGCACGAGCCCCGCGCAGCGCCACCGCTCCACAGTCCAGCCTTGGGACTCTCGGCACCCACGGCTAGCTAGCTAAAGGGACTGGTTTTTCGACCCTGCGGGCGCCCCAACTCCAACTCGCATCCCTTCTGATCACACATCCTGACAGCTAGGGGTTGGATTCCCCTTGCGGGGTTGGGGGCGCAGGCAGCCCCGAAAGAGAAGAGCAGGTTAAACGAGGCAGTCTCTTGGCCGGCTCAGAGGAGTGTCCGCTTTTGCCTAGCCCTGCCAGGGTCCCGCGCCTGTCTTAGCCTCACCTGGGCCCTGGCCAGGCAAAAGTTCCCTAAGAGCGGGCCCCAGGCGTGCGGACTCCACGTCGCCCTCACCGGCTGTGAGGCAGAGCTGGCTGGGTGTGAGGGTGGCGGGGTAGGGGTCCCCACTGCCTCATCTCGGAGCGGAGGGAGGTTTCTCTTTTTCTGGTTTCCCTGTCTGAGCTGGGGAAGAGACAAGAGGGAAGCCAGCGACTTGGTTGATGCGTGCGTGAGCGCGCGCGCTTTTGCTTTGGAGACGGGCAAAGCGACCTACAAGCCTCTGGGTGGCACCCCAGGCTCTCGGCCCTTGTATGGAAGTAGGAGCAGAGCCCGGAGGGTGCGAGGACTCTGAGCTCACCGTTTTCACCACGCAGACACGACCCAGCTGCGGGCAAGTTCACAAAGCTGGGAGGAGAGGAGAGCGGGGAGAAAACCCGTCGGTGGGTGGAAGTCAGCAGGGAGGACCCGGCAAAGAGAGAACACGCTCCCAGCCGCGCTAGGGTAGAGGGGGTTCGCTGGAGGCGCCTTTTACAGACAGGGTCCTCTCTTGTCTGAGGGTGTGTAGGGGGAGAAAGGAATGATTTGAGAAAGTTTCTAGAATGGAATGTCTTCCATGCTATTGGAGGAGGGGAGTGAGTCTGAAAACCGAACCAGAGGAAGGTGAAGGGAGGGTAATTTTGTTAAATGGTACGTTGCCTTGGATGGTTTAAAACCTCCATTTGTCAGGTGGGAAAACTGAGGCCAGGGAAATTCAGAAGCTTATGAAATGGGGGTAGGCGTGAGATCGGTCGAGTTGTGTGTGAGAAATTGTTCTTAGCTTCAGCCTCCTCCTTTCCCCTATTTCCTTGTAGTCTTCCAATGCCCTCGTCCTCCTCCCCTCCATTTTTTGGTACGTTCCTGCTATGGGACTGTCGCTGAAAGCACCAAGAGGAGCTGCTGGGATCTTTGAATAAAAAAGAGACACTGAAAGGAGGCTCTGAAATAGCTTCTAAACTGGAGAAGTCAGGGTGAGGGGAATGGACTTTGTGCAAGTTTAAGCACAGAATAAAGGCAAATGGCAGCAACACACAGAATGGCTAGACAGAAGGAAGGACTTCCAAACAACATTGAAGGTTATTGGGCATGAAGGTTATACCCTCTTTCTGGGTGTGGAGAGGTCCTTCTGTCTGGGATGGCTTGACATGCACCCTTGAGCCTGCCACCTCTGTTGGTCTTGGAGTCCTTTTAGCTTAAAAAGCCAATATATATGGTAGTTGAGGACCTAGGTATAGAGTCACATGATCTGGTTTCATATCTTGGCTCTGCCACTTGCTGGCCTTGTGACCTTGGATAAGTTGCTCAACCTTTTAAATGTCACTTGCCTCAATGGAAAAATTGGATTAACAGTATGAGCTTGCAGGGTTTTTTGGTGAACATTAGTGCTGTAAAGAAATGAATGACTACCTGTTATATAGTAATTGCTCAATAAATGTGAATATTATTATTATTATTACATTCAGTATCTCTGGAGTTCCAGGCCCCTTCTCAGTTTCTTTCCCTTGGACCATTCAGGGCATTGGGAGATGGAAGTGTGTTGAGGGAAGTTCAGAAGACTGCCTCTGTAGGAATCAAGTACCCTTTCACAGGCTGACCTTGCCTGGGCAGAACCCCTTTTTCCTCTGAATCCCAGGGAGGTATGCAGAGGGTGTGCAGACCTCAGGACTACTTGGAAATTCTTTGAAAGATCTGCAAAACTCAGAGTTTGTCAGTGGCCAGAGAGGCTTGTGGGAAGGATGCAGGGAGCCCAGGAGCCAAGCAGGTCCTAGCATCACAGACTCTGGGGGGAGAGGGAGGGGATCTGTGTGGCAGGGTTTTGGCTCATATGTGAAATACCAGTCACTGTTCAAAAGCTGGCTCTGTGTGACAGCTCAGCTCTTGTCTGACTGGCAGAGGTGACTTCTGAGGAGATTTCTGACAGGGAGGGACTTTCAGATGCCACCTTTAGGGTTTGGCCGAAGTGGGGGCTGCTTTAGCAGAGGGGTAAAAGGGAATGGGCCCCTAAGCCAGTGTCGGGTTGGGACAGTTAGGGATGGGCTTCCCATCTGACTTTGATCATGTGTGTCTGGGAGGTGATTGAGGTCAGTGGAGAGGTTGGGGAGGGTAGGGAGAAGATAGGCATCTGGAATCTGGAAGATGGCGATTGAAGCCTCAACATCCTGGACTGAGGAAACTTGGGGCAGGACCTTGGGCCATGCCTAGATGACTCTGGACCTCCCATAGGGGAGAAGAAGTCTGGACCTTTATTCCCAAGGCTGCCTCCTCCTTTCAACCACAGATTCTGTGGTTGGACGATCCCTGACTACAGTGTCCCCAAATAAAGTGGGGTTCTGACTCAGATCCTACTGGTAGAGTGCCTGGCCTTAGCTCTCCCTTCTTCCCTTTGCTGATGAAGATGAGAGGGAGGAGATTTAGACCAGGAGGCTGCTAGCAAGACCCCATGGGCAGTCCATCAGCAAAGGACTCTGCTCAGCAAGTAGCCAAGTGGTGTGTGTGTGTGTGTGTGTGTGTGCGCGTGCCTGTGTGTGTGCATCCCTCGCACACTTGCCAGAGACAGGGGTGTGTCTGGCAGCACACACCCTGGGAGAAGCTGAGGAAGGGATGTGTTGGAAAGGGCATGGCAAAGGGGCAGTGGGAAGAATCAGCTTTCAGCTCTTGACCTGAGGCCCAACATGTGCCAGACTTGGAGTAGGCAGGTCCCAGAGTTCAGTGGTTTCATGTTTGTGGCTCTGAGACAGAAAGCTGGGATCTGGTTACCCAAGGAGCAGAGGCTGCCTAGCTGGGGAGATGCTGAAACTCAGCATCTCTCTGCTCCTCCCTCTTTCCTGGCTCCTGGCACTGCTCTTCTGATGCCTGCGTTTTCTCTCCCCTCTGCCCACCCCAGCCAGGGCGCGGCTCTCAGAGCCTGGCCTGCTGCTCTCTCTTCTCCCTTGGCCCTGTCTTTCTCAGGCCTGCTGGCTGCTTTCTTCTCTCTCCCAGCCTTCCTGTGTTCTGGCAGGGGGAGGGAAGTGAAGGCCGGGAGATATGTTCTATACAGGGCTAGGCCTGAGATTTAACGCACTTTTCCTCCCCTTGAAAGTCTCCTCTCTTCCTAGACACATCCTGTGACCTTCTCAGGCTGGGGCCCAGGGTTTCAGGGGGGCAGTTTTCTTCTGTCTGCTCCCTAGCATTGGTTAAGCAGCTTGTGTGAAGAGTGGATCTGAATTATGAAAATAGCTGTAATTGGTGTGAGCTGTCTGGAGATGTGTGCACATGCCTCTATGTGTGTGTATGTATACATGCCTGTGCTTTTATGTGTGTGCATGTGTGTGCACACACCTGTGTGTGTGGGTGTGCACTTGAGTGTTTGCATGCATGTGTATAGAATGCAGGATGACAGGGGGACAGTTAAGCTCCAGGCACGAGGTGGGGAGTCACTCCCCTCCAAGTGCTATAGTTGGCAGCCAGACTGTACTCAGAGCAGATGTCTTACTTTCCTTATCCCCCTGCTCTGTACCTGAGTCTAGACAGCCCAGAAGTTTCCAAAGTTGGAGGCTTAGCCCAGGGACTGGATTGAAGGATGTCTGATGTCCCTGAGAGAAAGCCTAAATGGGGGACAAACTCAGACAGAGCTCCAGGGGACAAAAAATGGGCCTGTCTTGCTACAGTGGGCTCTGGCATCAGTTGCCTGTTAACCCAGTGCACTCTAGATAGAGTAGAGAAGGGGCTGGGTCCCTGGGGAGATGGGAGAGGGTGCTGGGACTGCAGAGGCAGCTTGTAGCCTGGCCCCCTCAGGGGCACTGCCCACGGGTGCCAGCGTGATCTGCCCGAGGCAGCTGACCTATTTTTCTTAGGAATCTTCCTGCTTTTTTGTTCTCTCTTGCGTGAATAAGCAGGAGACTGGTGAGCAGAGACAGGGCCTCTGTAAGGGTTTTGGAGGACAATTCCATGTGAGCCAAAGCTTTGAGGGAAGTGCCAACCAGCTTAACTGTCCTGAGAAGAGAAGGGACTGGGATAGTCCCCTCTGCCTGTCATTGTGTCTCCAGCCCCCCCTCCCCTCCACATTTCCCCTTACCTCCATCCTGGTCACAGGCACCCACCAGGAAGGTCTGTGGCAGACAGCTTGCACACAGGCCTGCCTTCACAAATTGTATAAGGTGAGCCATTGTCCTTATTTTCTGGTTTCAGAGTAGGGAATGCTGACACCTTACTGTAAGTAAATATGGAGCTTCAATTTCCCCCTTTCTTTCTTATCTTGTCTTCCTTGAGGAGAGGAGGGTGGCCTAGTGGCAGGCAGAGC